ACAACTGATTTTATCCTGGTTAAAATCAGGATTACCAAAGCAGCGACTGCTAACGGCCAGAATTATCCGAGAGCTCGACTTGGGTTAAACGGTCGGCGCATCTCTCCTCAAGCTTCACACAACAGTCTGCTGGCCGTTTGGCTCTTTTCTTCTCTTGGAACCGATGAAGCTGAAGTTTGACATCTTTTCAGCTCTGACCGCTAATGCGCTCGAATCAGGGGTTGATGACAACCACTCCAAAAGGTTGACTGCTGCCACTTTGTGGCTAATTTGGAGGCACGGTCGGGTCACCGTCCATTTGGAAGACTTTACTTTTTTTATTTTATTTTTTTCTGTGAAGTGCACCAGTCCCTCCCGCAGGAGAGTCTTAGTACCTGAGAGAAATTACTCTAAGCTAGCTCATCTTGAAACAATGGCTTCTTCCTCTCAGAGCGGCCTTTCAGCCCGTCTGGGTAACCGACTTGTTTCCCAGTGGAAAAAGACGCATCTTCACAAGGTGCTTCATCTTTGTTCTGAGGTCCATTCGCACAGCTGGGGCCAAAACAGTCGTCTGGGGAAAACAAAACCTGGACATATTCCCATTGTGCTTTCTTGCCTGTAGTTGTTTAAACGGATGGAGATGCGGAGGTCCACAGTTTCTCTTCCTAAGATCTTTGCCTATTTCGTTTGGATTTTCAACGATGCCACAGGAGGAAGCAACGTGTCTGAAGCGTCGACGCCTTTCGAAGCTGCAGCGTCGTCTTCGTCATCCGGGTTTCTTAAATTTCAAGAAACTTTGAATGTTCTAGCATTTTGCAAATAAAAATAAGTTTAGCATGACGGAGAGAAAAACAGTTGCGTTTTCCTACGGCGAATGCAAACATCTGGTTTCACCCTGCGGTTTCTTTTTGCATCATACTCCAGTGGGGTAGATTAGAAAACAATCTGGCTGTTCATGCTTCATTTCAAACGACAGATTTCTTTGTTTCTGAATAAATCGTCTAATGAACTGCAGCCTGTTTTTAGAAGGCGCCATCCTGGAAACATGCTGGACGTCCAGCCACCTTTTACACACAAACGCATAAATAGAAACAGTACTTCAGCCCCTGTCCTCTCCTTCACACGACGGCAACGGTGAGATATTGCAAAAAAAAAACAAAAAAAAAAAAAAAAAAAAACACCCCGGGGGTGTTTTTTTTAAAACTTAAAACCCCAAAAGAAAACCCCCTCGGAAAAA